TGGCCACAAAGAGGTATAATTACTGTTATTATTATTACATATTATTATTTTCCATATTTCTCACCATTTCCTGAATAAGTAAATAAACATTTTCGAAAGTTTGATATGAACACTGAACAAACTTTCTTTCTGGCCTCCTGATTTCGTTAAGAGTTTTATTTTGCATCTTAGCAAGTCCGACCACCCCCCTCCTCGCTCCATAGTCTTAACTAGGTATTAAGTTGACCATAAATTCTTCAGCCTTATACTCCAAAATTGACAAAATCAATATCTCCATCTCTTACAAAATCGTTGCTCGAATAGCAAAAATAAATATATATGTATATATAATAAAAATAATAATAATCGTCTTTATTTAAACTGTACTTCATACAGAAACAAGAGTTGCATATGGTGGCGAAGTTTAGCAACATGCTACTCTTACACTTAACCACCCATGCAAAAAAACAAGTTGTTAAGTAGCAGATATCAAACAAAATATACATACACCTTGGGAAAAAATATTATTATACATTATGATGAGGAAGAGAGATGGAAATATACAAAAGTATGTAGGTGCGTGAAAGACACTCGATTGTAGGATCATATCTGGCAGCGTCGGAGTGTGACGGACAACGGGGTAAAGTAGAAGAGTGATAAAAGAGAGAGATGGCAGAACGGGCGCTGGCGCCTACCGCTTAGACGGATTCGCAGAGTTGCCGATACCAATATGTCATATTTCTAAGAAATCTAAGTCTACCCAAATTTCGGGAAAAATAGCTGCGGATTCCACATAAGAGTATTCCAAAAATGAAAAAAGTTCAAACTATTAAAATTGTATTAATGTTTCATGGTTCAAATCATATTTTTCATGTTTGTATATTGTTGTATAAATGATTTTGTAATCCCTATTCTTGTTGCCAGTAGAGATACAACAGTATTGAGAGAAATCATGGACCGCTAGATAGGGCTACAACTACCATGACTATCAATAGTAGTGATAAACAGGGTTTGTTTATAGCACAGTTGCCTGGTGTGGCGAATTTGCGCCATAGGGGCGATTTGACAACTTTGAAGGACAACTATAACGGTTACCATGGTGCCCGGTATTCGGGAATCTGGCAATACCTGATGATTCCTAACGTTTATTACGCCAGATTGTTTGCTGACTTGCGCAGTACAACATGACAATCAACGTGACTGAGCACCTGGTAACCCTGGTTTAAGGTGTTATATTTAAAGAGCTTGGGGCAGTTAGGTATCTAGGTCACATTTTTAATGTATTTCGAGAAATCCGTAATGTTGAGTAAATACTAGATCACGTTTCTTGCTTAGTTTGCTGAAAATTCTACAATAGACGTACATTTTGAGAAACAGAGATTTGATGACGACAAAATCGTAAAAATATAACGCATTTTCGTAAAATAATTTCTTTGTTGAAAAGACTGTGGCTTGATGACCCATTGAACGAGTATAGTGTCCCGCTCCGCTTTGAATATTCGAAACACTATACTCCAGCAGCATTCAGCTTCAATGTTATCTTTATGAAGTTCTAACGTCTAGGCCATGCTGATTAAAAGCTTGAATGAATCAACACTTAACTCTAAATTCCCCACAATTCGGGAAGCTCTACTCAAAT